GAACATAGTAATGCATGTTTAAAGTCCTTCTCCTTCAGTTTATTCGGAGGGATTTTAACCAAATTTTGTGTAGAACATCCTTGGCAAAAGGGATTTAATTTCTTTATAGATGGAGGGTTGCTTTTATATGGCAGAAGGATGTGGCCAAATAGGGAAACTTGAGTTTAATGTTTTAAATCCACCCCTATTCATGGGAGCAAAAAGAAGAGACCTAATGAGGGGCGGTTGTTGCTGAGATCAAGGTGAGCGATACAGGGCCTCTGGGACTCTTGTTTTTAAATCGACGTTTGAATGGGAAAGGTTGTTACGCAATCGAGGAAATACTTTACAATATTAATGTTATTTTTTTTTCAAGTGTTCATCTTGATAAGTTTGGCTTGAATAATCGGCTTTATACCCTTATTAAGTCACATATTAAAACTTTTATCTGCTATATTATCAAGCAACGCTTTTTAATAAAAATAATAATTAATATTGCATAATCAATATGCTACATCCATACACGATAAGAAAGGGATAAACAATAGGTGTGTAATAGAGAGGTGTGTTAGAGATAATACCAAGAGGCGCAACTTTGGATAGCAAGGGTAAGCCTCGCTAAAAAATGTAATTCAGTGAGATAGATTAAATCTAAAACAGTTTAAAAACAGTTTAAAAAATGTAGCGTGCATAAGGAAGCCTCATACCGCCATTAAAGAGGCGCTCATCCGTTAACAACGCTCTAAGTCTTTTGTTTTCAATTATAAAAAAAATGTTCCAATACAGACACCATAGTTTCAGACAAACAATACCCTGTACAAGTACATGTATAAGAATTTTAACATACCACACAAATACACACGCACACGTATGTTGTGTATACTTATACTGAAGTGTAAACAGGGTAACATTTGTTTATGTACATGTACCTGCACACTAACATTAAACTCAAGCAAACTTAGGTACAATAACATAGACATTGTCCTCTTTGTGATGTAGTTCGGTCTAAAAAGGCAATATTGCACATAGAGAGAACCAGTAGGTATTTTATAAAACCATTATTTTATGAAACCATTATTTAATAAAACCATTATTATTATATCCATATCCAACTCCTCTGGAAATGAAAGAGACATTTAGTCTACGACTTGCTAGACAGATATCACTGGCATAATTCGCAGACGGTTCTTAGTACAAAGTCAGTAAATATAAACCTGATTAAAATGACATGCAGCTATAAGACACGAACCATGATAGTAAATGATAATATAAAGTACCATGTGATAGGCACGGATTACTCCCCTTTCTCCTTTGACATTCCAAGCTGTTGTCAGTGCAAACATCACAACTTGATGCGCATACCATCCCAGTGAGTATGAATAATACACAATTATAGAGAATAAAATTGCATCTTATATCATAAACAAATGACACATTATATTTATGTAGAAGGGAAGTCATTATTTAAAGATGATGACATGTGGTATAAATTGCTAGTTACGTATGCCATTTTTTATGTAAAAGGGAAGGCATTATTAAAAAATGATGACATATGGTATAAATTGCTAGTTACGTATGCCAAACGAGGCTGTTGAATAAAGTGACGTATTATTGTTACAGAAAGACATTGTTTATCCTATAATGTTAACGTTCTTCTTGAGGTACCCATGCTTAGTCACAATTACTAGTGAAGATATCAAATGTTGAAGATAAGCAGTAATTCGTAATAAAACATATTTATGTAAGTCACTTTATTTCTTATATGATGCATTATACTATAGCCAAATATTGGAACATATTAGTGTCAATGCAAACGTCAAATTCTAAGGAAGGTGTTAACGTCTCTAGAGTATTGCGATGCCGGTGTAAATCTCTCCGAGTATTTCAATGCCAGTGTAAGTCTCTCCGAGTATTTCAATGCTAGTGTAAGTCTCCGAAAAGAGTCACAATACAAGTTGGAACCTCTGAAGTGTAAATCAATACTAATGTGAGCTACTCGAGTGTATGTTTTTGATAGTGTAAAACTCGTGAGAGTATGTCAATGCTGGCGTACGCTCCTGCTAGTGTAAATCTCTCAAGCAAAGGTCAGTAATAAGTATAGATTATCACACTGTGTTTTCAGGGTTTGTCACGAGAACAAGTTCCTTATTGCGAGCCCATTGATAAAATTAAGAGGCCAGCGTAAATGGGCTCAGAGTATTATCCACAGTTTATTAACTGTTAATCATCGATATACTACTACCATATATATTTCTCAGTTTAAAAATCCACATTTCATTTCTTTTATCCGACTTCTACGCCTAATGACTATCGAGGTTGGTGTTTTACGCGGAGGAATACCATGCACCTTAAAGTTACGTAGAAAGATATTCCATTACAATATTCTTGTCATAACATACTATTTTCTTAAGTGGTAAACAGTTGTGTGAATACTGCCTCAGGTTCATGACGTCTACTAGCGCGAGCAAACATCCTCTTATGATAAAATCTTATAAACTCATATTAGCCCGGGATAGCTACTGGTACAATGTAGGTGGTATAAAGTAGTAAAACAGCCAACGTCAAAGAAGACTATCAGAAGTACGTTTTTCGTCGCTGGAGTTATCTTGAATTACTATCAGAATATAACGATTTTAAGAAAAATACAATCGTTTCATTACTTCGTAATTATTTTGTTTTATTCAGTATAGCAATATTTGTATATGCTAATGGATTGTACACCAGTAGAGATCTTATCAACGTTTGTACGAATAAAATGTCAACGGTTTCAGAGTGGGTTGTCAGCTGTTTACAATTCTCGGTTTCAGCAGACGCAGTGGACCAGAGATGCCGTGCACATCTTTAACTTTTACCTAAAAACAAAATGTAAATACATTTAATATATGTAGTTAATCGACAACAAGTACAGCATGCAAAGAGACATTATATCGAACACGTGATGTTCTAAACAGTAGAGTAAAAAACCCGTTATACCGACATCATTTGTCCAGAGAATATTTGGCGTTTAAAGGGGTTTGGCAATAACTTGAGGGGACTGTATAAAGGTATTCTGAAGAAAGAAAACAAAAAGAGGGACATTGAAATACGCTGGCGGTAAAAAAAGGGATGGCAAATGAAACGAGGGGCATTATATCGATACTTTGATGTATAGATAAAATTTTATACAATAGAAATATTTATCGACTATTGATGACACCTTAAAACCCAATATTATTCGATTTTAGATTATTTTCGACATATTACAAAAAAGTATATCTGGTATCAGGAACATTTATATAAAACAGCTATATCAAGTATCGGGACATATATTGAGACGTAAGTACATTTTACAAATGTGTTTTAATTTAACTGATATTGTCAGTCTAACCTAATCACGTTTTACTCACATCTTCAACAATACAATGTACTATTACACAACCCAGCGGTGGTGTTTAAAAGATAAAATGTATTGGAACAACAGATAATATCAATTATCTGGAACACCTTTCAAATAGCATTCAAATTATTTGATCGTTACGATAAAAGTATAAGGTATAAGACGACCTACCAGAGTGAATGTCCCTGCTGCATATGACGGTAACAACCAATGAATGGCAGAGCAGACTGTAAATGATGGAAGATCCTCCTTCTCTTTTATTGTCTGATCATCTGTTGTAGATGACAATCTACAATCAAGTACGAGTAGGTATGTAAATCATATACAATATTTAGAAACCAATAACATGTATGTTGTTATGAGAGTTTGTGCATCCAGTTCAATACACATGTGATGTTTTTATTTATGTTATAAGATAAAACTCAACAACCATTTTACTCACGACCAAATGTGGGAATGCTCTAACATGTAATCTATCTATTTCTAGTGTCTAGTGGTAGGTTGCTGAACTCGTGACCGAAGGGTTGTGTGTTCGAGTCACGTCACGGCACTGTGGTTATATCATTGAACAAAACACTTTACACCGCTTGTTCCATTCTACTCAGCTGTAAATGAGTACGTTGTTGGGCAGTGCTTGAATTGTTTCATGATAGCTATGAGCGATTCAATGGCAACGTCAGCTGTATGCTCCCCATGGAGTTGAGAAGGCGATTGGCAAAGACCCTATAACCACATAATTTGTGAACCGCTTTGAGACGACCTACGAACTAGGTTGTGATAAAACGGTATATAAGAATCTCAAATTATTATTATTATTATTTCAAGACCTAACTACTTTTGTGTATTTTTGAAGGTCACGTTAATGACAAGTCTTGACAATCATTTTAGTTGTACTATACTCAAAGTGTTTTCCGTCATAATAAATTTGATTCAATATATCAGTAACAGATACTATATATGAAACATGATAACTGATATCATCAGAGTATTAATAATAATTTGTGACGAGATTGCTACTCCATTGGAACTATGATGGTCTATCCAGCATTTTTTCGTCATCATAACATATAAGGTCGTAGAAAGAAGGTACACACAAATGATTGGGCTTCACAAGGGTTTTGTATTTATATTATAATGTTATAATTCGGACATGGTAACAACCCATCTCGTCACATTTTTCTGACCATTAACTAACCAGTCATGCAGCAGGTACAAAAATGAGAATATCCTGATTGAATAAACTTGATTTATTTATATAAGAAGAATTCTTTAAAAGTTTCCTTGTCATGATATTTTAGTGATGATTTGTGTAAAACCGCCGTTGATGAAATTTCTTGGACCATTGGTTAATCATCTTAAATTCTCGTTAAACTTTTCCCAGCGTGAAAAGACCTCGGGAAACAGGGTTGTGTACTTTTGTAACTGGATATCATAAACTTGTGATTACCTTCTTCCTCTGTATGTGCCGTCTGTCAAAACCAGCTGCTTGATTGTTGCCAGTAGGGAAAAACTTCAGTTCAATTAAAATAAGAAACCTATAGATCTACTAGAAAAAACTGCGTGGAAATACATGTATCATGTCATATATTGAAATGAACAATAATGTTTAAAAATAAAAATAAAAAACAAAAACTGCGATAAGTTCTGAAATCATAGCTTACTTTACTGACACGAAATATTGGTTTTCCATTATATTTCAGACATTGTGTTTCGCTATTTTATCATTTGTACCACTTAGGAAACCTGCAATCAAATAAAGCAGTTAAAATGCATTTTAATTTTGATAATATATTTACCAATTATGGTAAAATATTTAAACATGTAAAATCATAATCCATAACATTTTATTGTAATACAGTGGGTACAAGATAACTGTTAATAGACTGAAAATAAAAAGGCAGTTATTATTCATTCTAATTTTGATAATATATTTATTAATTATGATAAATAATTAAACATTTAAAATCATAACACATTATATTTTATTGCAATACAATACAGTACAAGATAACTGAAGATAGACAGAAAATCAAATAAAGAAGTTATTATGCATTCTAATTTTGATAATTTATAGACAAACTATCATATAATATTCAAACATGTAAAATCATAACACATTACAATATTGTAATAAAAATTGTATAAGATGACTGTTGATCGACTGAACAATATGTATGATTAGAACACAATATCATCAAAATTAACAAACTACATCAACATATAGATAACAATTTATCGACTTTGGAATACATTATCATATACTTATAATAAATCATCAGCAAGATGTAAAACACGGATGCACTGGAAACGGACACGACAACGGCACATATACAGTCATTATTCGCTTAAAAAGTACAACAGGTGATTTAAAATTAGCTGTAATTTTATACTTAAATTGAGAAATAAAACACATTTCACTTTAATCATTCCTATTGAATATCTTCAGGAATATTTATGTTAACATTGTTGTAATGCATAAAAAATGTTGATGAAATGCAACGCTAGCTAATGTAAAAAAGATATAATGGTAAGACAGTCTGACTTTAAATGCTAGAACATGTATGTATTAATTAAACATTGAAGCATTTTCGAATTTTATCAAGGCTTGACACGAGTAAATGAGACTGACAAAAATGAAACTACAAATCTGGATCGGGCATGTAAACATTGATTATAATTAATTAACCACTTACCTTTTAGCTGTTCGTTTGATGTGATACAATACCTAATCATCACTGTATGGTTATACATGTATACAATGATATGATGTGAATATTCTTTACCAATTTATGCCCTTATATAAAATTGTAGTTAGGAATTGAAGTTAATAAGTATTGATGGTTAGACTTTGGCATACATGGAACGATATACATCAAAAACATGTACAGGTGACACTATTTTCATTTTCAATATTCAATTTGTTTGTATTGATAATAATAAAATGTATGGCATACAATTATGGACTTCAAGTTGGGACTGACATCAAGTGTTGTCTACCCGAATCAGGTTATATCATCGTCCCGTCAGTGGTTCACAATGCTTTTGTCACACTAACATGAAGTCAATAATTGTTTATTAAATACCGAATAAACGCATGTTGTATATTTGTTTAATAGTACAAATACATAGTATATAATTCATATTGTTCTAAACATAATTAAAATTATCACTGAATACGTCCTTATCTTTTAAAAGCTACGATGACGATGCAGAAATAACCATTGCATAATATATTAAGGTTTATCTAAATGATTCACCCTGTATATTTAGTATATTTACCGGTCGAGCCAGCCGGTTGTATTGTGTACCCGTCGACGCGGAAGATAAATTTGCCAGGTACGCCAGTGTTTGATTTTTGTTCAAGATTGATGACGTCAGTGTAGTCAGAGCTGTTCACAGTGTAGCTATTGACACCGTCCCCAGCATTAAACCCAACCTAATGAGAAAAAAGAAACCTTACATCAATGTTGGCATAGACATATTATTTCTGAATGGCAATAAAAAGATATACCTCGATGTCTGCTTATCTGTTCATAGTGTAAATTAAATTCCATGAATGATAATTAGAATAACTTGAAAGATAGATCATTTATTGAAAAGAACAAAAGAATTACGGAATAATAACGTGACTGTAGTTCTTAATCATACAATAAGGTTTAAAACTCAAACAAAATTTGCATCATCACGTGCAGGGTAGTATAGCCCTAAAACATTAGCAGACTACAGATATGTATAAAGTTGCGATACCATCAGTACAATAATTCCTACAGTCTGCCAGTATGAGCCTACAGTTTTGAGGAAAAAAAACATTTTGCTAATGAAATTTAAAAATAGAAAATTAATATTAATATGCTTTAAGTACAAAGTATATTTCCATTCAAATCAACACAAGACATCAATAACAGGTTTGAAATATTTAAAGGAAATCCTGAAACAACTAGCCAGTGATATAAACCAACAGAACGTTAGACCATGTCAAAAGCATTACTCTGGGATTAGTCATTTGCATACCACTCACCACACTCCCTCCTGTTTTGGTTATAATGCTGCTATGAAACATTTGCTATATTTCCTTCCTACATGGGTTTTACATAACATTATTTATTGTCATATTGTTGTGCATACAACAGTTTTGGTGGCGTGATGAGCATACCTGGCCTATTCTATTTTCTGGAAAAGAAGGTGACAAACTATAAATTGCATTACTCTGGGATAAGACACACCAAAAAGCACTCCTGTTTAAGAACACAATCTTGCTATGAAACATTTCCTTTGTTTCCTTAATACATAAATACATATGTTGTACAAATAATGGTTTATTGCCACAACAGTGTGCTTACTATAGCTTTGGTGGCGTTATCGGCATACCCGGCCCATTCTATTTTCTGGTAGTGAAACATAGCAAAAGATATCACTCCATCAGTTACTAGAACCACCTGGAACGTATTTCTCTATAAAAATAAAAATATGTTAATGTCATAAATACAACACATGATACATCTAAATAAACTCATTTTCAGATATGCATTAGATTAACTTTTGAATAATTCGATTCTTTATGCAAACGGTTTAAATGTTATTATAATGGCGTTGTTTGCAACAATATTGAAATCATATAGAAATTACGTAAGAATAATATCACGAGCTATCCGGGGTCAGAAATAGTGTCATAAAATTATATTTAACCGTTCATTTCATGTGCGTGACGTCACGATGGAACAACAACGATGTGACGTCACGATGGAACAACAATGATGTGACATCACGATGGAACAACAATGATGTGACGTCACGAAATCATCCTGATGAATCAATGACCGTTAACTTTTTGTACATACAGTATTAGTATTGCTATCCATACGGTAAATACAACGTGGTTGAATTGTTTTTCTTTATTTTAACCATATTCACTCTACCTTCGTGGCATCACTTCCAACTGCCTGCCAGTATGGGACGTCTAGCCAAGTTGCTGTAAACAGTTTGGTTGGTTGGAATGTTATTTGGTTGTCATATAATGTTACGATGTCGGTTTTCGCGCGATTAAGTAGAGCAGAATCGTTCGTAAGCTTGTACCAAACCTGTCCAGTTGTACGAGTGTCAGCATCCATCCAAAACAGTGATACCAATGGAATAGATATCGGAAACTCTAGTGGAATATACACAGAGTAGGAACCAGTGAAAGAAAGATGTCCGTTGTTATTGACCTGTAACAAAAAACCATCCAATGACTTTCTTCATATCAAAAACACATGTTAATGAAACGCTTAGTTCAATGTCTCGGACATGAAAACCCATTTCTCTTCCGTATATTTTGGGGCGTTATTCAGCGATATGAAAGGCAAAGGTCTATTATAAACTGTGATTCCATTTACCTACATCACTTGTGTGATGACATTTATATATATAACCCTTCCTTTTCAATCTTGACGATATTTTAACTAACTTTTCATATTTCACCTCACTGAAACATACTGCCGATGACACCCAGCAGGACACCCCACCCGATCACAGAGTCTTCTAGTGAACTCACAAAGAAAACGAAAAATAATGATGAAAACATTGTGCCGATGAAGTAGACAATTTTCCACCACACGTAACACTCGTCAAATGTAGTAAAACATGTAATACACAGAAAGCAAATATTTCATCATTGCAAACAGTTAAAAAACATAGCTAGGTTTTATTGTACTGAGAGAGAAAAAAAGATTCGCAAACAGCAGGTGTGCCGAGAGACAACACGGAATTCAAAAGTACAAAAGCTGTAGGAACCTGCTCATGAAACCAATTCCATTAAGAGATTACTTGAACATACATCAAGAGACATCTGCGTTTAGAGGCATTTCGAGATTCTCTTGATACAGTCTTACCTGTACTTGGTATTAAATGTCTTCTTAATAGAAGAGTTAAGAATTTGTACAAAAATATCGTCTAGTTGCTGAATTATGAATGCGCTTATCACTCAGCAAGCTGAATTTGAAATTTAATATTTGTTTTACGAGAGCATTCGACAACAATTTTTTTGCTTGTTTGTAAAACAAATTTGACTTCAGTCAAAACATTTGTATTAAAAAAATACATTTTTAATGACAAAAAAAGAAATATGTCATTGTTCCTTATTCACATCCATGAAATATAAAATGATAGTTTTAGTTTTATAATCGTTGGGAAATATAGTTTTTACTCATACCCAGAGCGTAATATTGACAGTACAATACTTTGAAACCTACCTTGACGACCACCTGGCAATATACTGCTTCAATTAAGATTACCCTAATAAAGGAAGTGTATTGACAGATTTGAGTACATTTGTGTGAAGTCTTTTCAAAAAGATGGCTAATCCGGGTGAATAATACCAAAAGCTAACGTCTTGAGGAACTATATGTGCTAAATGCAATTGAGTTTTCCTACAAATATGGCATCACTGTCGAATATCAACAGAACTACATTTTCCTTATTCATGTACTTACGTAAATTGTGTTATATACGTTGTCGTAGAAAGGAAAGGTGAAGCTGATAACAGGAGAACTTCCATCAAGTGTGCGAGACATGAGTTGATCATCAGGTCCTGTAATTCCATCGTGTGGATATGGGTACATGTTCCCCAACGAGAGGCCAGTCACTGCAGACATACATTGCAATGTCAATATAAGTATAACGATGGAATAAGCCATAATCCCGGTGTGTCTGCCTTGTTCCTCACATAGATTTATTGAACACACACAGAAAAATAAAAATCTGTGTAGACAAGCATATATAATCCGTTTAAGCAGTATAAACACTTCTGTTCACATACGTAGCTACTTTTCAACAGACAACAGGGCTGTTCGGATCACCTGTCGCTAATAGGTGGTTTGTGATAGAAATCAACTGACAACTCATGTCGCATGATCACGCGATATAATTATGACAAACTGCGTAAAAGGCTCTGATTGGCTGAACTTGTAAATCAGGTTTATCCAAAAGGAAGTAAAAATGTTCCCGTTTGATATATGTAATGGGCACCTGCATTTCTGAAGATTTCAAGGACGATATCAATTAATGCGGTAATATAGTTGTTGTTACTTTTTTATTATGTAAGAGGTCCTTCAGATTTTAAAGCTAACCGCATCATGCTCTCACTTGCAATATTTGCCTTTCATTAAATATAATACTGAACATATCACTAATCCATAACCGTGTTTAGTAAATCCTGATTTTACAGACACATACCCTGAAGGACATCCTGTAACATTAAGCATACCTAAAATTACATAAAGACGACACCGTCTATGTCTTTATTTTACCCGAATTCACCAACCAGTTTTATCTAGCAAATGAGTCGGTCCCTTATTCGAGTCTTACTATGATAGTTGTACATGTAGTAAACAATCCTGATGCATGTGTACATAAGTATACTGCAAAATTTCAGGATCATTGTGTAGTAATAAACAATTTTAATATATTCATTTCTTTCTTGAAATAGTTATTATCTAATATAACTGGTGATAAGATTTACACAACCATGTTCAGCCAACTTTGTACATTAAACATGCATATACAGCGATCCACTCGTTTATCTCACAATGGGCAAATAATTACTGCTTCTTTTTAAGTGTCCTGGTGTCAGTTTGTAAATCATCAAGGGTGTTCGTTGATAATTCAAGATACCGATTTGTGTTTTTAAAAAAAGTCACGAAATCCTTTCACAAAAATACCTTACAATCAAATTGCAGCCGTTTTTAAAAAGTCATCCCTCAAAAAATGCCAATTCGCGTAAAAATCCTTTTTAGTATGAAAGTTAAAACGGCATGTATTATGTGGTTTCCGATAACAAATACCTTACATATTGTTATTGTGTTATGTTATGGCGCGATTACTGATCGACACACTATATAAAAGATACGGGTTGTTTATTTCAGTAGCTTTGTGTTCATTTTGTTTGGTGTTAGTTTACAAGTTTTAACTAAATTACTGTGTGCTAATTCGGTCAACAACATAGTTTTATGAATCTTATGACGCCGCCCATTACTACATATAGGGCTGAAATTGTACAAAACTCATTGTATTGCAAAAAAAATCTTTCAATGTAGTTAAAAGTTTATTATCTTGGTTCGTGTATGGTTTGAAATCTACCCCCAGATCACGTAACGACTTAACCGACTAGTGATGGGGTCATGCGAGTGTCATTGTAAATAATCACCACACCGATATGTGTCGAAACGAGTTCATCTTATCCTCATCTTCGATCACATAAATCTTATATCTGCACAACATGCTTACCATAGGTGTTTAGGGAGATTATTCGCAAAGCAAAGGAATACGTATTGGGATAGTAATTCATTTTTGTATAAACGGTGGGTGTCCCAATTTGGTCTGGAGCATCCCTAATCCAATATGACTAAATTTTATATGAACGGTGGGTTTGCCCTCCCCCCCCCCCCCCCCCCCCCCCCCCNAGATGGGCCGAATAGGTGAAATAGAGGGCCACCATCTTGGATTTTGACATTTGAAGTTTGTTCTCGCCATATCTCCAGATCATATTCCTTGTGCGTGCCTCAGTAACTTATTTATGTTCCAAAGTTTTTGTTTTCTTACTCATCAAATATACGTATGTGCAGTTATCAAATATGGATTCATGCGTCCCCCCTTGATGCGTCAATGGACAATAATAAAGGAAAATGCCGTGTGTCAACTGGCTAATATTATTCAAGGAAGTGTTTTTCTTCGTGTTAACCGTATTTTGTGGAAAATAATGGCATGTTAACCCGGGCATATGATCGTTATGATGCTATTCGTTGTGACCTAATTTTTCAATAGTCCTCCGCTTGCTAGATCACAAATAAATTTCAGACATTTGCAGGTCCACCAATTTTTTTACCAGGAACTGTTAAATTTTAAAACACCAACCGGTTGAAACGGATACGCGAAAGAGGCCCTGGTATTGGTCACAAGAATCGTACGATAGCGTTACCGTAAAATTACCCGACTTTGAATTCGGGTGTTGCCCCTATTATTCTTCAAAGGCTTGGTAACAGCTTAGCGATTGATCAATTACTTTAACCAGAAACCAATCAAAGAGCCTTCGTGTACCTTCGATTTTGTCTTGACATATTCCAATGATGGAGAGAACTTAAGTAAGCTTGGCTCCTTGAATTTTCTTCACTTTCTCACTTTAGAATGAACAAATTATCCAACCCTTTATCGCAGTACCTATACCACTTTGCTGAATTCCTCGAGTCGCCCTCAGAAACACAAACTGTCATGATATAGTCGGATAAAAAAGATAAATATACGGAAAAAAGGCGAGGACAGTTATTTTGGCGATGTTTATCAGTTTTAAACAGATAAGTACTTTCCAATTCAGTTTAATTGTAATATTCAGTATTGCTTAAACAAATTGGCGAACAAGCGAACAGAGATAATCAGCCGAATATTTATTTCATTACTTCTCAGCATCAAGAATAAAATCTATACATTACAGCTATACGATCAGCTGTAGGTTATTCTTCTTGTTTAATATAATCAGTGTTCGGGTTTGCAATGTTCGTTTGACCTCGCAATGCTGTATCTGATGTACATGTAACTAGTTTCATATATCATTTCATTTCAACTCTCCGTGGCGATTGCATCATACAACTGTGTGATACACATGCAATCGTTTGTTTACAGTCACTACGCATTAGAAGGTTGTGTACGATTCCTACAGACTTCTGTGAAACCTTATAGTCGTTTTAATTGTCCCACTGCAGACAACGTTGTTTAAAATCACTACGCGTCAAAAGGTCGTGTGCAATTCCTGCAGACCTCGGTGAAACTTTATCAACATTCAAGCGATTCTGACAAGATGCGGGATTTAGTGACGTCATATTGTTATTGCATGAACCATTGGAAATAATAATGTTGAATTCGATGACGTTTATGCATTGTAGCATACTTTGATAGAGGTATTAAAACCGATGTGTGCTATTACTTCCAATGCTGAAATGCAAGCAAGAAATAACAACTACCATTGTAAAGCACTTTATTGCGTCCCGGCCTTGGTACAGAGTTCATCGCCTCCCCCACATGTTCGAACATTCAACTTAAAAGCTAAAAATGATATACATTGTCAAATAAGGCGTTCGAGAATAAAAAGGAATTAGGGAATTTCCAAATATGTACAGATTTGTCGTCGATGTTATGTCTCAAAGAACAGGGAGTAAATGCAAATCCCAATTCTGCAGCGGGGTCCCACATTAGTTAGCTCTCACAACACTTGGTTGTGTAAAGCATGTATATTACTGCATCGGCGAATATATTTACAAGTATATTTACATTTAAATATCCAGAGTATTGAAAGCATAAGCTGATTTAAGGAAATGAACCTTTGTTTTAATTCAATTGTTTAATTAAGTCAACCAGATGTAATGGGAATTGGACATAGATAGTTTTGACTGTTCCAGAGTATTCTAGTTCACTCCAACCAGGACAATGGTTTAAAGAATATTGTCCTGTCAGAAATAACTATTGCCCGCGCAGAGAAATATTTAAGGATGTTGACTTCTGCGTCATTGTTATCGTCATAGATCCATTGTTTTCAAGAGTTATTTGCAAAGGACAAAGCAGACCACATGCAGATACAAGTGTATCGTTGTATTCTGATCGACGTTGCAGATTATTCACTCATTACGTTGTGAAGATTACATAAATATAGATTCCAAAAAGGACGGACTGGATTCCGATATCTTCTTCAAATGATCAGAATTTTCAACACATGCATTACTTGAATTTTCAAGGATACGACCACAATTATTTGACATGAAATTGACAAACATCAGGTTAAATGATGAAATTATACAAACAATTGCCGAAACAAGCAAACTATTGTTACCTTTTTAGTTTTACATGTATTTATGTTTTCCAGGACTTGGCGATAGTTTTATGATATATATCATGTAAAATTAAAGCATAATTAGTATTGAGTAATTGCTAAAGACACACTTATACATACCAAAAAGACATAATAGGATATTACTGGGACCAATTCTCCTAATATGTGACTTTTGTATTGCAGTTTGACGCAGAAGCACTTTCCATAAAGAAAAAGATACAAAACAGTCAGAAAAGAATAAAATAATTCAAAAAGAAAGAATAGGAGAGATGGCTTGTCAATTTCATGTTTGCATTCATTTGACTTTTAGTACAAAATGGCGCACGCTCTCCTTTGGCAGTGTCCTGGCTAACGATGTTCCGAGACAGCGATGTTACATCGTATGGCCGTGTCCGGTCCGGCCGGGTTCCATTGTATGAAAGTATTCAGTCTGGCGAGGTTACACTCTATGATAATAGCCTCTGGAGTGATGATGTTCAATATATAATAGTGACCAAGATGGACAAGGCTTCAAAGTTAGACAGTGTCCGGATTAACATGTTTACAGAGTATGACAATGTGCCGTATTTTCGAAGTTGAACTGTACGAAAGTATCCACACTAGAGCGGTTGCACATAGTGACAGTGTTCGGACTAGCGTTGTCAATCGGGAAACGTCGGCTTTTCCCCTAAACGATAAAACTTCGTTTACGGAAAGTGATGACAATTTCCGATTGGTTACGTAGTGTGTAAACTAGCGAGGTAACATTGCATCAAAGTGACCAGATGTACGAAGCTATAGCAGTCATTATAATGTCACTCTATGACTATTCCCGAATTAGAATGCGCATGTATATCAGTACTTGGATCTTTTTTAAAGTTGGGAACCAAAGATGATAAAAACACACACAATAACAATACGACAAAAACTAATTTGATGGTGAAGTCATTGATCTTCCTTATGATCTCCATGTCTTGTTTTTCATGTCTTTCCATGAGAGCAATAATAGTGATGAGTCCTCCTGCAGCGGCTTGAAAGACCAATGCCAGAACTGTGATTACCAAAATGAGGTTGTAAAAAGGGGGCGGGGTAACGGTTGCTTGTAACATGCGCAGACTGGTCGTGGTATGCACGAGAAGCACAAGGATGAGTAATCCCTGTAAAATCGTCTTCTTTCTCATATTATCTGCCTCTACCTCCTGTCGCTGGGATTCCTGTAAATAAACAATGACAAACACTGTAATAATACCACATTCCTCGCAAAACATAACCGATCTGCAGTATGTTACAGTTCAAAGATATAAGGATCGTCGTCCACCCCACCACCAACCTCTTACCCCTTATTGTAGACTGCCATACATACATTTTCCTCCCTTAAGTTTCGTTTTGGATGTGACTGCTGTTAGGACTAGACGATCCAATTACATATATTCTCATAAATTCGTCTTTTTGACCCGAACAGACGAAAGAAAAAACAGGAATGGATAATTACGTTTTCAATTTCATGTTTTGGAGGATATAAGACGAAACTTTGAGAACTATCGATAATTAAAGGGGCTAATTGCGCGGGGTGGGGGTGGGGTTGCCTTTAGTTTGTACTTTGAAACAAAAGACGCTAAGGATGTAAGCAAAATATTTGATATCTCTTTGTGTCGTCATTTTGCCCCCAAAAGTACGACACAACTAGTAGTTATAGCATATCGCCTTGTCGAGGCGAAAACAACGTAAATGCACAATCAGACATCCTTGCAAGGACAATCGCCTCGGTCGATCATTCAGTGGTACATGAGAAGTTACTCTTACCTGAAGCCACAAAGGTACAAAAGTTATCTGTTACGCTCACTGTAACAGCTGGGATAATCTATTCCCCTTTTAAATAGTTTTTCTTCTCCAAAAAACGTATATACATGCTTAATTATCTTTGCCAATATACCATTTACCCTTTGTCGGCTATGTGACCTGGTATAACAATTGTCTGATAACCCACTAAGTCTATATCGTACATGCGAATTGTTTATGAGTGAATTTGGTATTACCACTTGTGTTGACTTGTCTACCATCATAGTCGATGTCCAATGTCGGTCAAGCGAGAAGTCACTTCCAGAGTTATCGACGGTCACGTGACGTCCCAATGCGCGCTTCCTGTGACTGCTGCCATGACGACGTGACAACGCGGCATTTGCCGCCATGTTCAAGGTTGCCTCTTCCTGTGAATCCATTTCACACTATTTATCAAGCGCAGTCAATCTGACCAAAATACGAATAAAACATCAATTAATAGCAATCCTATAATTTGTGATATATAGTAGAACCTGACAGTTCAGACATACTGTACGTGGAGGTTTAAAATCGGTCGAATTTCACAGGGTGTCGGATTTTTAGTGTCAATTAATGGTTTCCGTTTTCAAAATTTCTAAGAAACCAGTGTAGTCTGCCTTTACTGGAGTGTTATTTTACAATAGGTTACTAAGTCGTTTGTTTCGTCGTTTTAACCGTTGGCAGATATATCGTCATTATAGAGAGCAAAGGCTCTCGTCTGGTTAAGCATGCGTAAAATGTCAACTTGCGTAAGTTCACGTTATGTATGTGTGTCATTTATGTTCATAGTCTGTTTGCTGTGTTTTCGTTTCAACGTGTTTTTCCCTCTCAGTCACCTTCAATTTCAAGTTTTTATTCAGCGATCCATAAACATCATCAAATAAAAACACCAGTTCTTACATTCCGTCCACAACAACAAAGTCGCATTCAGAGGTTTCATTTTAAGACTAAAACCAACCAAATAGATAACCGCGTGCCTTCGATTTTGTCAAGACATATTCCAGGAGTGCAGAGACGTAAGGGAACGTAATGCTTTCATTTTGAGGCTGGCGTTACTCCTCCGAAACGAAAGTAGGCAGCACAATTTAAAGTCTCTGATAAAAAAATATATATAGAGAATGTCGATACATGCAATAGCATACCGGTGTTTACATCTCTCTTTTTAAACTGCATATCGTTCAATTTTAATTGATCATAGGGGTTTGTAAAGGTATCCACGATAGTATATAACGTGGCGCTTTATTGCGAATGTAGGTCCGTAGTGGGGAAGGGGGACCCGGAGTTAAAGGACGCTTACTGTAAATGTTGAAATTTCGCGTTAGCAATAATTCTGAAATCTTCATTTATTTATATATCCTATTTAACTATAATCTATATAACTTATTAATAAATATTCGCGTGTGGACACTTTCGCGCCCCAATATACACAAAGCGAAACACGCGAACATTTGCACACCGCAAAAAAATCCACTTTTATATTATCTTATACCACAAAGTTCCATACAATTCAAATGACGGAAGTCTCAAACAAACATTTGATCATCACTTATGTTTAAATCAACAAATCTTCCTTTTGATGGGTGGTTTCAGAGTGATAACCAGCTAGTGCCGATTTTAGTTGAAAGCCCTTTAATGTTGACAGACCACACGGCAGCAGGAAGTACATTTGAGTAGCGCGAAGCGCTCCCACAACTTCCTTCTTGAAGCACAGCCGCGGAGAGCACTACAGACTCGTCTTACTGAATGTATTTAACGTCACAGGAATCAGACGCATCGAAATAAGATACACGCACATACAGTTTAATCCATAATGTTCTACTGGCATTAGACGTATCTCCTACCGATATATCTTTTATTGTTTATATTTTGATTTCGTAGCCCGCCCGGCTGAAATTTAGTGCAAAATATCAAAACGATATGTGCATATATTTATGTATCACTACTAAAGAGTTGAATTATAAGTCATACCAGTAATCGGCAATTCTGCTCACTGAGTATTAAATATGTTTAAATATTTATCAGTTACGGACTTAATTATGTTGAGGTGAATTATTTGTTTATGTGATTATAACCACATATTCACCTATCTAAAAGTCCTCAAGTTTCTAGATGTTATATTAGATTGTAAATAATGTTTTAATGGTTCTGACGAGATGGAAAGTATGAAAGTTGTACGGTGGATTCGCCATTTGGTAGAAAGTAATGTGACCTCACAATTGAAATGACGTCATAAAAGAGAAGAAAAAATTCTAAAAATTGTTAGACCGAGTAAATATCACAACCACCAACCTCCATGTGATTATGTACAGTGTATATAAATCAGTACATCTAACAACAATGTATACGCATTAGGCTTTCAATGCAGTCAATTATGCAATATAAGTGTGTCTGGTTCCGGTGTATTGACAACGTTCTTAGTAAGTCCATGTCAACATATCCGGTTTTCGTGCATTTGTATATGTATTGATATTTACGATATACCTGTATCCGGTCCTGCTGTAAACTATCCCCAGCCATGCCCAATGCAAGTTTCAATAAATATATAAATACTGGTCTTACAACGGGCATTATAGACCTCCACTAATTTATTTGTCCTCGACATAATTGTGAATACATATGTAATACCAGCAATGCATCCTGCGTTCTTAAGAGATGTATATGTATTGTTACGATAAACCCCGTACAGTACACATATGTGCATGTGCAATAATGTCATTCTAAACCTATGGGAAAGCATAGTTATCTTAACAACATTACACATAAATTACTGTTTTTCTATGCAATTCAATCCATTTCATTTTTATATATTCTTCTGAGAAAATGTATTAATATATACACGAATTCGAATATTCTCAGCGGTAGTCTTCAAATGCAACGTGTCAATCGGTGTATGCGTAAAGTAAAACTTTCGTGAAACGAGAACGGGACGAGAACTAACATGCTACTATGACGACCCGGACCAGATGTATGGCTGTCTGTGTATATAAATGATGTAAACAACATGTTCTGTCGCGGCGTTGGCAGAAGTTATATCTACAACTTAAAGTGGGGTGCAGATATAGGTCTATTGTTGCAACATTGCTATTTTTGTAAGATGTTGGTTTTTTTCAAATGAGAAGAATTAAGACATTATTTGCATCGGAACATTAGAAATATTGAAGTTCGTTCATCTTTATTTTTCATAGACAGGAAGCTATAGATGTACCATGGTTCTTTGATCATGACTCAATTACCGAGTAAAATATTATTTTTAATAAATGTATTTAGATGTACTGGCCGGTGTCGGACCTCACCTCATTTTGATTTAAAATAAAAAACGTAAAAGGGAGATAAATTAAGGGGAATGGACGAAACGGCAAAGCTTGAAATGTCTAATTAATCATAATGAATATGCTAACTAATGTTTGATTACGTAAAAAATAAGTTAGTGACATTCAAGGTACAGTATAATATAATGAGTATACCAAACGACAGCATCAAAGTGAACGCACGTGTCGCGGTGATTGATGAACTCAATTACGTACCCTGGTGTATAATTTACTTAGGCCGTATTATGTTTACACTTACCGCGTCCCAGACCGCATGTATACAAGTGTACATTGACGTGTATATTGTATGTTGGGCAATACACGTGCATTGCATGGACGTGATATAACGCTCTGCAGACATACCGGGGAAAAAACACATATTTATAATCCGTTTCAATAACTCTAGTTTTAAGCCTATGACCTTACGTATACATTCCCATCCATGCTAGCCTATGTGTAGCACTCCCTTACACCCAGGCCTTCTACATTCGATTATATTTCTCCACATGCCGGGCCCCACCTTAATTTATCCTATATCCCCCGACTCCATCCTCACCCCCAGTTATGTTCCCTGACCTCCCCATCTATGATTCTGGACCTCATAAACACTCCTCCAACTACAGCTCTGATTTCTAGACATGTCTGTCTACCAGCCTCGATCCATTTGCCCTCTATCCTCTATCACTGTCCCAGACCCTCCCCAATAATTGACATCCAGCCACCACGCATGTGCACGCATGTCCCTTTAACCTAATCCCTAACTCCTCCCGTCGTCCCCATGCAGTAAAATCTTACCTTGGTACTATCCTCCATCTCTCTTACTCTCTTTCAGACGCTAAGCTAACGTGTCCACAAACGCGGCAGGCAAGCCACTGTGCATATTCTCTACTTCCTCCACCGAAGTACAAACTTCCTGTTACTTTATATATACTATGTCACTTCAGACTTTATATGTTTGTGTATTATATTTTTAATCAGTGTCCACAGACGGCGTTGATTACGTCCTGTATTGAAGTATACTTCAAACACGTTACTTTTCCATGACTTTTAATTTTCGCGATTAGTCTTTATCATGTAGGTATAGGGCGAATATTGAATGACGACACAGAAACATCAGTTGAAGATTTGTATTGCTCTCATGCATTTCCTGCTGTGTAAACCTACCCAAGTCAGCTGTGAGTTATTAGAACTATACGGCGTGGTGATTGTGACGTCGTTACAAGAGTGACGTCATCAGCATTGCTGGCCGATGTTCATTGATAGCTGTTCATTTTAGTGATAAGCAGGACGTTATCACCTCATAACCTGGTTTGCTTGTTTGTTTGTGTTTTACGTCCTATTAACAGCTATGGTCAGTTAAGGACGTGCCAGGTTTTGATGGTGGAGGAAAACCCTCCGACCTACGGCCAGTACCTGGCGACTGCCTCACGTAGGTCTCGAACCCGCGACCCAGTGGGTGGATCATAACCTGGTCAGAATTGAAAACTGTGCATGCTCTCTAAATAAACTGCATTTTAGAAAAAAAATCAAGGTTTTATGATTCTGAAAAGGATTGAAGATAAAGCGATTACCTCAGGATACACTATATGTGTTGTGCTTATTTGTGTTCAAATCCTGTTTAGAAGTATAGTACATATGTTAACAGAAGGTAGTTTGATACTTTTTTTTAGTTCTTTTTGATAATCAATAATCATTCAAAATTTTGCATGTGTTCTTAAGATTAGAGAGAACAAAAAACTCACCTATGGAACAGCAACAGTCAGTATCGGCCACCTATCTCCAAACATTAGGATAATGACGTCACTATTGTAGTGATAATTTTAGGTTATTGAGTTTGGTAGATTTATAAAACGGTAATGTAGACCGACCTAAATCGACTTTACATGGAAGACTGTGCCCATCAAACCTGTTTACCCATGGACTGATCATGATGGACAGCGAAACACTTGTTTTAGCGGACCATTTTCTAATCAGGCGCTAGTGCAATATGATCTGTTGCCTGGTTATCGTGGGCGATTAACCTTGCTCGTTGACACAAAATTAAACAACAGCAAAATGAAGGTAGATGGAAGAGGTGGAAATAGCATCGGGCAGCAGGTAGCAATTGACATCATTAATTGCTTTTGCAGCCGACCAGTATCTAGCTGGCATAATCGACCCAGTTGGCGTACCTCTTGAGGACTTTGTGGGTAAGCGCCTAAATATCTATTCAAACGGAACCAGTGGTTGTACCCACTCGGGACTGAACACTGATAATCTCATCCATTTGGTCACTACAAATGATCTGTCCGCCTCACACACTTTCTTGCATGGCCACACTGCACTAACAGAAATATCAGGCATTAACAATATTGTGCATTCTCGTTACGATACTTCCACACGGTTTCCGACATCATCAGTATCGTACGAGAATCTACATGTCATCAAGCCAACAACAGCTGATCACTGTAAGTCAGTTATTCCTATGAATTTAGTGTCCTTAAACTGTCGCTCGGTGAATAATAAGTCATTGTCCATCGAAGATTTTGTAACATCTCAGGACATTGACATTCTTACATTGACAGAAATTTGGTTAGGTTCAGATATCGATGACCAGGTACTAGCTGAGCTAATACCAACAGGTTATGGATTCCTCCACAATGCTAGACTCGGCAAACGTGGTGGTGGGGTAGCTTTTCTGTTTAAGAAAGGCCTAAGTGTGACATCTCTTTTCCGGCCATGATGATGCATACACACACTTTGAGCACATGACTTGTTCTGTTCTTGCCGATGATAAACAATTTAGATTGTGTATCATTTACAGGCCTCCTCCGTCTAAACAGAATGCTTTCCGAAATACAGTGTTTGTTATGAGTGGTCTACCTTTTTAGACCACCAAGTTGTTGTACCCCAAGATATTATTATCACGGATGATCTAAACTTCCACTTAGACGATCTATCTAATGTTGATGCTCGCAAGCTCTCTGGGCTACTTGATTCCAGGGTTCTGATTCAGCATGTGACAGAAGCTACGTACACAGACCCATGGCCACTCACTTGATGTGGTCATAACGAGGGAAGATAACTCGGTCAGTGATGAAGCAATTTCAGTGATTGATCCATGTCTAAGTGATGTAAAGGGGGACCAATCTGGTGATAATCTTTCTGTCCGCGCAACACTGAATTGTGGTTAGCCAGATAGTGCAAGGAAAGAAGTGAGCTTCCGGAAATTCCGCGAATTTTCAATACCAGATTTCAACAATGACATTCCGTCTTCTTCCGCCCTTCAATCTACTTAAGGCGGGGTTGATGATCTTATTGAAGCATACTGGTATAGAAGCCCTTATATAGAAACACGCACCTCTACAGACTAAGGTGCTAACTGTGAGACCGAATGCTCCGTGGCATAATGAAAATTTCCGCGTAGAAAAACAGAACCGTAGAAAAGCAGACAGACACTGGCGCAAGACCAAACTAACCGTTCACCAACAGATTTATAGGGGAAAATGTCGGCTAGTTGGTTCACTTCTCATTCAGTCAAAGAATGAATGCGGTAAGGATCATAGACAGCTTTTTAGACTTACCAACATCTAATAGGTCAGAAAGGTGAAATTATCCTACCAAGCTGTAATTCTTAAAAAAGACTTGTCAAACAAACTCAGTGATTACTTTCTGAATAAAATCAGCTCGGTCAGGATAAATATTGCCGAAGTGAACTCTACTGCTGATAATGATATCATTGTCATGACTGCTGACATTAAATTTGATGGGGAACCATTGACAAAGCGCTCACCAACAACCCAGGACTAGTTGCGCAATATCATCATGACCTCGCAATCAAAGTCCTGTGAGCTTGATCAACAACCTACAAACCTATTAAAGCAATGTCTTGAAGCATTGCTTCATTTGATTACCCCAATCATGAGCAAATAATCGAAAATAATAGTCAAAGGTGCCATTGTGTTTCAAGAAAGTACATGTTAGACCATTGTTGAAGAAGCCTGGAATGGACAAAGAGGAGTTGAAGAACTACCGCCCAGTTTCAAATCTGTCTTTTCTGTCTAAGATCTTGGAGAAGGTTGTGTCCCGGCGTTTAGAGGTTCATCTCCATGCAAACAGTTTTCATGACAACCTGCAATCGGCCTACCGTATGGGACACTCAAATAAGACGGCCCTCCTACGAGTACATAATGGCATAGCTTCTGCATTAGATAACAAGTGCAGAGCGGTACTTGCCATGCTGTACTTGTCAGCTACATTTGACGTCATCGACGATGGCATACTTTATAAACGCATTGGCTCTCTTATGAAAGCGGGGATGACAACACATCCTACCATTCCTTATCATGTAAACAACTCAGTCCCATCAAACATTCTAAGGGATTCATAAATGATATGATTATAGATGATCAGGAACAATACAGGGAGGAAGTCTAAATCTAGGAATCCACGCATGATGAAAATATCGACGATAGTCTTACTGAACTGAAGAGAATACAAACACAGGTATCAACACAGTCAACGCCTATTATTACAAATAAAGAGAGAAGCAGAGACAACATATAGAACGCCACAGATAAAAAACAATATACAACTAACAGCCAATCGTCTTCTGAAAATAAACTGACAGAATTGACTCCGCCAACAGAAAATTGTATCCCTACCAATACAACGTCTAACTTAAATCCTGGTGAAGAGCAGACTAATATAAAAAAAAACATCCAGACACCGACGACAAAAACATACTGCAGACTCACAAGAACTCCATAAACAACTGGACCTTGCAAATAGCGTCATATCAAGATTAGAACTACAGGTAAACGATCTTCAGCAGTCAAATCGCCTACTCAAACTTGGTCCAGCTGCACCAAACTTTTCAACAGCACAACCACAGCTCAATGGACCCCAGCTACAGCAGCAATGTGGTCTGAGAGAGACATCAGCCAAAGCACACCACCACATAATTGAGATGGAACAGCTAAAGCAACGTCTGTGTGACATGGAGATAGAACAGCTGAAAACTAGAATCAATGCACTGGAGCTCAACACTGCCAGACAAATTCCTACAGAAAGCCACAGGGGCATGGCTTGTGAAATGGAATACCATAACCATGGAAGTGGACAAAACCTGGCGTCGGTTTTTATGGGATACCCTCCACTTAACTACATTTTGCCCGGACCACAGTGTCATATGCCTACGTACTGGATACCTCCTCTGCACATACCACCACCAAAGATTCCGACTGTGGGCCACCACACAAACCAGGGTAATGCAAACCTTATCACCAATACCAACAGCCATTCTACGCAGAACAAAGATACAATGTCCCAGGGCCTTGTAAAAAAAGTCCAGAATAAAAAGTTTGGAACCCGGGAATCAATAGTGCTGACAACACTGAACACCAAGAACATCAAAGCAAACCAGGTTTATGTCTCGGAGCTATTGGCAAAACCTGATCTATAATGCCTTCAGGAACATTGACTCTTCATATTCCAGCTAGAAGCTCTTAATGATCTCACGGACAAGCACAAATCTCACAGTAAAGGTATAGATATTGCAGATCCAATCTCGTCATACCAGGTTCCAAGAGGATATTGAGGTACTGCTGTAATTTATAATATAGATCTGGAGGTAAAAATCACAAAAAAATCCTGATGGTGGCAATAGAATAGCTGTACTGGAACTACATACGTCACCGCCAATTTGTATCTTATCGATCTACATGCCATGCAGGGGGAAATCTTCAATTACAGAATATGAAGACACCCTAGAGGAAATTCAGGAAATTCTAAAGAAATTCGATCCAACATATGCAGTATTCCTATGCGGGGATTTTAATGCATCACTAAAGTACAGACAAGGCAATGACAGAGACAAGCTTCTTATAGACTTCTGCAAACCGAATAATCTCCATAATACCCAGACTGGGGAACCAACCTTCTTCCATGTAAACCTAAGAGACTCCGGAGAGATAGATTATATCCTATGTGATAACACTGCTGTGGGATTAGTGGACACTATTCGCCCATTGGGAAAAACGGACATAAATGTATCAAACCACATCCCAGTAACCACGTCAATCTCCATCCCAGTCAAGACAGGAAAACCACAATCTGTCAAAATTGCGCCTACACCAAAATGGGCAAAGTGCAATCAAACTGAGTACCTTAACTACGTTACAGAAAACATACGCCACTTACCGAGCACATTCGAAAATGAACTTCAGGTAGAACTAGCTATAAACCACCTAAATAGTACACTACAAAAAGCAACTGCAGAGAGTATACCAAACCACAAGCAACATGTGACCATAAAAGGAGGAAAAGGCGTCTCATTAATATAGAAGTCTCTAAGACAATAAAAGAGAAGAAACACTGTTACTGGCTGTGGAAGCAATGCAAGAAACCTAGGTCAGCTACCAATAAATCACACCTGAATATGATTAGCAGCAGGAAGAAGTTACGCAGGGTGCAACGAAAACATGAATATCAGCGGCATATCCAAGAACTCAACATAATCATGGAGTCAAAGGGTGATAGCGGCACATTTCATAAACTCGTAAATCAACAAAGGAAAACAAGCAACTCTGGTACAAATGTTCTAAGGATAGAGGGTAAGGCGTTAACAACAACGGATGAAATAATGGATGGATGGGTGCAACACTTCTCCACTCTAGCAACTCCATCTACCAACCCAAGATATGACACTGATCTTAAGGAAATGGCTGGTAATGATATCCTACTCATTGAGGAACTGGTTAAGGAGTCAATCATCAAACCACCTACTAAAGAGGAAATACAGTCTGCAATCAGAAGGTTAAATAACAACAAGGCTGCTGACAGCACTGGACTCACGGCAGAACATGTAAAGCTTGGTTGGGATCTGGTAGTAAAAAGCATTAAAGGAATCATCACAGGGATATTTGAACACAAAAAATACCTCAATCGTTAAAGGAGGGACTCTTCACTGCAGTCTACAAAAAGGGGGACACTCAGCTTCCATCCAACTACAGAGGGATTACAGTTACTACGATCCTACTGAAGATCATAGAGCACATTCTACTCGGACGTCACAACCCAATATTGGAACAAACACAATCACGGCTTCAAGTGGGATTTACAAAGAACCTTTCATCAATCAAGTCAGCCCTCGTTGTATCTGAATGCATAGACGAATCAGTCGGTAGCAATAAACCCTTATACTTTGTAACCCTAGATGCCCGGAAAGCATTCGACGTTGTGGACCATGACATCCTCCTACGACAACTATACATCGATGGAATACAAGGGCCAGAATGGGACATTGTAAAGGACATCTACCATGAGGCAACATCCAAGGTAAAATGGAAAGGGGAGGTCTCAGACAGCTTCTCGGTCTTACAAGGTGACCGCCAAGGGGGAGTACTCTCAACATCGCACTACAAACGCTACAACAACTCACTGCTATTAGTACTGGCAAAACTACAAGGAGCTACTATAGGATCTATACCGATACCTCACACGACCTGTGCTGATGATACTGCGCTACTAACGCATAATGAAGGAACCATGCAAAATATGCTACAACTAGTAGAAACCTTTACCAAGCGTTCCAGGTATAATATTAATCCAACTAAAAGCAAAGTATTACTGTTCAATGTGAGACGGGAACCAGAGCTGAGGATACATGATGAACTAATCGATATGGTAGAAGAAAATGAACATCTAGGAATATATAGAAACATCAAGAACAAACCTAACATGCAACACAAGATCCAGCTCGGAAGGAGAACAGCATACTCATTGATGGGGGCATGGTTTCATGGAAAAGGTAGAGTCACACAGGAAATAAAGGCAGCATATTGGAACACATAAGTAACCCCAAGAATCCTCTACGGGCTGGAAATCCACCAACTCACAAAAAAAAGACTTGGACTCACTGGACGTATTCGAACGCAAATTCTGCGGCAAATCCAGCACCTCCCTGACAGAACACCGAGGCTCTCCTAGGAATACCACCTGTTGAGATGACAATACATACAAATATCTTCAGCCTCTTCCACAATATTATCACACGAGAGGACGGCATTGAGAGAGAGGTAGCCATAAGACAACTGGCCACACAGGATATAAACTCCAAAAGTTTTTTTCTCAAACGTGAGAAGGATCTTGGACATATACAACCTTCCTAGTGCCTTTGACCTACTGGAAGATCCTCCATCTAAGATCCAATGGAAAAAGCTGATAAACAATGCCCTATATAGTAACGTAGAAAGGAAATGGCGTGAAGACATCGACAATAAACCATCCCTCAGGTTCATTAATTCCGGGGCTCTAAAAGTAGGAACAGTACATCATACCTACAAGAAGCTGTCATGCAGTGTACACGACGTGCAGAGAGCGGAGATCAAAGCAAAGCTACTGACAGGAACATATACTCTGCAGAGCAATAGAGCCAAATTTAACCAGTATGAGGTAGACCGAACATGCAAACTATGCGATGCAGCACCAGAAACCCGACACCATTTCCTGTCCGAATGTCTCTCACTGGAAGACAGTAGAGTATGGGTAAAAACTAGACTCCGAACCATCAAACCATTAGACGATAATCTACATGCCTGGCAGGACCCGGAGATGCTGACGCATCTTATAATCGACTGTACTCATCCCAAGATTACTGAAATGATAAACCTCACAGAGGTTATCTACAGGCGACCCTTATCTGCTTAGAACTCTAAATCAGATCAATCGAACTGCTGCTAGAAATAAACATTGAACTGTTGCTAGAAATAGTCAAACCATATAGAACTGTGGCCAAGTGTGGTAATCTGAACTGTGAAACCAACCGCCGGAGACTGCACTCATACTGTACAGTGTAAATATATGTGTACATTAACTTTAACGCATGCGTGGTGAAGGATTTTACCAATTTTAATCTGTATTCTTACTACACTACCAGATAGTGGTGCCTCGACAAGTCATCGGGGGAATCTCAAGATACAAGACAAGACATGCCTTATATCCCACTTCCATAAGTATGAACAATGTATATGATAGAAATCATCCGCATGGACCACGATTTCCGTGCCATTTTCAACATTAGGCAATGGATCCAAATTAAAAAGTTTGCAGTGGAATTTAAAAATTATAAGAATTTGAATTTCCCGCGAAGAAATATACGAAACTACACATATACGGTTGTGATAGCTTTACGTCTTTCATTCAAGATGGCGACGCCCATGCAATCATCCACGGTTGAAACATCAGAGGAGTTTTTACCTGGAATTAAAGATGTTACAGAATTTACACAGGTACTGTCAACCACCGTAATGTAGCGACTGCTTAATTATTCCGACACATGATATGAAGAGGTTGAATTGCTCTTTTATTTTGTCCTGTTTTCGTTATTTTGCCGTGCACGTGTTCAGTTTGATCGACTGATTGAGCATGGCGAATCTACGTTTCTAAGTTAACGGTAGAGTAGTGTTGCGATTTGTCCATAATAAGAACTGTGTATTAAAGCAATACATATTAGAAAATTCCCTCTTGCGCGAATCTAGAAAGCGACCGTACTTCTACATGTACAATTAGGCAAAATATAATTTAGAGCTGTACAGGTTAGGGAAAACCACCAACTTGCGTATATACGCAAACTAGCCTATAATATTCCAGCTGGAGTATGGATTTGTTACTAAAAATAACCCAAATCGCTTTACCAGTAACCTTTGCAAGATATTATTAAAAATCGCATTAATTTACGACAAGGTAAATAATATTTTGCTAAAAGATGTTTACTGAAAGCGTTGGCTACTTGATGTAACTTTACCGGAAGTATTGCATCTGTTTTTGGTACTTTCCCACATGCAAATAAAGTTTATTTTTGCATTTGTATTATGTTTCATGACTGAATAAATGCAACTTGTACAAACAATTTGAACAAGTTAAGATTAAAGTGAGTTTGGCTATTTTTAGTAACAAATCCATACCCCTATTGGCATATAATAGGCGAGTTTGCGTATGATACGCAAGTTAGTGGTTTTCCCCGACCTGCTGTAATCAGGTCGGGGAAAACCACTAACTTGTTAAGATTAAAGTGAGTTCGGCTATTTTTAGTAACAAATCCATACCCCTATTGGCGTATAATAGGCGAGTTTGCATATGATACGCAAGTTAGTGGTTTTCCCCGACCTGATAATTGTATATATATACTAAACGAAATACATAAAATCGAGTTACTATAGTTTTCATTCAGCTTTCATTTTATTGTTTGTATGCGATGTCGTTCGACTTCATCAATTAAAAAAATCTCTGTCCATTTAAAACTTTATTAGTGGGCGAATTTGTTCATTTTAGTGGCCATGACTTAAATGTTTCAGAAAACCTTGCGTGCTGTACTACAAGCTACCAAAGCTTCCAATGACATGCCAGCTGCTGGGGATGACTTTGATTACTACTCCAGTTTCCAAGGTTTCAGAGACATACTTGACATAGAAGGAAAAAGAATCCTGCACATGTAAATATAGTAACATGACCGATTTAATTATTTTAATGTTCAACCACAGGGGCATGGATCGCTTTGCTGGTAAATTTTAAAAAATAGGGGTCTCAACTAATAATAGGAGACCCTATTTTTTAATATTACAAGTAAAGTGATCCGTGCCCCTGTGGTTGAACTTGAATATCTGTATCTTCTGATTATTTTAAAACAGAAAGCATATATTGAGTTATCTTGACTAAAAAAAGCTCAAAATAAACATAACTAAAGTGCAAGAATTTTCACTTTCAGTACCAGTAAGTACAGCATTTATTATCAAGATATACCTTCTGTTAACTGAACATCTCCATACATGCCATATCTCACGATTTAGGCGTGAGACTCACGAAAAACAGCCTTCCAAAATGTCTCACGGCGTGGGAACCCATTTTCACGCTTTTTGTTGCAAATAATCTGATCTCACGAAAGAAACAAATTTGGTCAATCTTAGTGAATAAACAATTGCTTCATGGATTCACACTGACCTTGGTCACCGCGAGGTCTGAAGTCACACGCCAGCCACTTAAATCACAGGCCAATTAGCAGCATATAGGTGTGAAAGTTCTGAATGGCCCGGCCGGCTGATTTAGCGGGGCATGGCTAAATGACTTGCTCGTCGATGTGTGAACTGTTAAGCAATTAAATCAGTGATCCCACATCCAGTGGGGGCTAGTTGCTAATTAATATGTGATGACAGTTGATATTAACATTAAACAGCAACATAAGGAGATGTCGGAGCTGTTAATACCGAAACGGTAATGTTGGAGGTGACTATAAAATCGAAACCGGACACAGACGTTGAATCCGGAATTCATTCTCTTGCCGTCGGGATGGGATTGAGTGTTAATGAAAAAAACATAAACAGAAGAAAACAAGTTTCTTCAGAATTGGATATATAAAAATAGTATTTATTGGTTATTTTTTCCCCAACAAATTAGAATTAAATATTCCCAATGTTTTGAGATACATTTTTTCTAACCTGGGTTAATAAGGACATCCCTGTGGAATTTCTTCTTTTTTAATTACTATTATTTTTTGCCTTTCATGTGATTTATTTTCTTTTTAAATATTGATAGCTTTATCTGGACTGTTTGTCATGTGTAAACCTTCCTAAAATCCTTTAAAATATCAAAAAATCTCCAATTTTGGCTCTAACAAAGTAATTAGAGGCTTCAGAATAGCACAAATGATTCAGTACTATGATATATGCTATATGTTTTAAATGTCTCACGAATTCAGAGAAAAAATCTCACTATTTTTTACCAAATCTCACTAAAAATAATCACTGATCTCACTATTTTGCACCGGAAAGGTATGGCATGTATGCATCTCTATATTTCAGCAGTGTTCAGTTAAGTCAGGCAAATATGTCATAAGGGACAGGATAATTGTGTTTAGGCCAAAAATAATTACATGTTATTATATATATACAAGGTTGCCAGATAACTAGATGTTTTTCCCCAAAATACCAGCATCAATTTTTTTTAATTTAAATTTCCAGAAAAAATTGTCCCAGAAAACATTTTGTTTTGTTTTATGATCAATTGATACCTTTTCCATTTTTGATGCAAAATCTAGCATAAATGGATTGAAAAAGTTAAATGAGTAGTTAACTACATGTAGTAGATTAAAGCAAACGTTATTATAATTAACAAATACAGTGTTGGTAAAATGTTGAAAACTTTCTTTAAATATAAATAAAATACTATATAATTACACTTACAGCACTTACTGACTCTATATAGCTACCCAATTTTGAATTTGTAACCCTAACCAGACAAATTATTTGGTTGGCCTTGATGTTGTAGTGTACAGAATGTGATGCAGCATCAGAATGTCAGAGGAAGGCTGTCCCACGGTAGTTCAGATATCCTTGACCTGGAGGACAAATTTGATGTGTTGACCGACGCAAATGACCAGATACTTGAGAGAGTGGTCAGTATGTTATCCTCCTTCAAAAATAAGTATGATTTGAGAAGAAGCAAAGATACAGACTATTTTTTTTATAGAAAACAAGTATTCCCAATGTGCTGAAAACACCCCTAAATATCATTTAATAAATGCTTTAAGTAATTGCAAAATTTCTTAGAAAAAAAGATATTTTGGGTGATTATCTATTACCATTAGATACATGTTTAAAATGCTGAGGGCTGTAGGGCATTGGGACAACATCTTGGATGTAGCCCGAGTTTCCTCTGGCCCTAACACCAGACTTAGATATTTTTACATAAAGATGTCTGGTGTGGGGCCAGAGCGCATTCCTATATGAAAACGTGGAATTATCTGACACCGTTTGGTATCAGGGAGTGACTTATCAACAAAAAAGACTCAGTCCGGAAATCTTCTAAACAAGAATGATATACATGTATTTCGTTTTTGGTCTGGGTCAGTACGGTTTGTTGATTAGTCACTCCCATGAACTACAAAATGGTGTTCGCTTAGGTGGGAAATTTTCAACGATTGAAAACCGGGAAGTCTACTGACGAAATTTAGCAGCTGTTGGCGAAACAGCCTCTGGAAATCAACTGATCATAAAAGTGAAACATCATCAACATTTTATCCACCTATTTCACAAAGCAATTATTTTCTATCAAATTCTAAAAAGCAGAGTATAAGTGTCTTTTTATGTCTGTTAATCCATTTTTTGATAATTTACATGCAGTTCTTCAATTGTCACATTTTTTTGTATCGTCCAGTTTTTGTGATTAATTGTTACACAATAATTTTTTTAACCAGGGAAGCTGGTTGGATGAAGCTTCAGGTATCAAGAAGAAAGATAACACTCTTGTGCTAGCGACGGCAACACCAAAACAGCAGGCCTCGTCCAGCTGGAACAAAAAGGTCAGTCTTAGTCTTTGGCTGTCAGTACTCCATTATGTTTTTGACTCAGATTTTGAATCCTAACTCCTGCTCTTCCTGTGAGACTCATCAACCTTTTTTTGAGGACCCATAATATGTCTTAGCAATGGGACTCATTAAAGGTTTAATTGATAAAGATGTTTAAGACTCACCATAAAAAAATTGACAAAAAACACTGTAATATAGTTTGTTATGATGGAGGGCTGGCTATTAAGTTTATTAATTCACGTGATCTTGACCCAGGTCAATGGAGTAAATTAAAACTAGCTGTTAAGAATCCAGCTTATTATCACTTTAAAGATTAACATATTGCTATGTAACAAATTGTTCTTTAAAACTATGTTTGTGAAGCTATAACTTGTAGAGATCTATAACAAATTGTTCTGTGTTGTAGAAAAGTACATCTGCTACCAAAAGTGCCGCCAGCTACCATCTCCTGTCAGCCAAAAACATCTTACGTCCACAATTACGTTTCAAGGACAAAGTGGACAACAGAAACCAACCTTTTGTCCCGAGGATTAAGGAGAAACCAAATGCTATGAAGTCATTAGAAGGTATATTCTGATAAACTTCAGACTTTTTTTCTTAATTTGGAGCCTGTTTGGCACAAAGTACTTTTAAGCTTATGTCATGTTGCATAATGTTGGTATCGTCACTCTACTGTCTTGACTTTTCATTCCAGTGTGACAAGCATTCAGTATACAAAGACAATGAATAAGTTCATATTTTATTGTAACGGTTCAAAGGTCAAGGTCACTGCTACTGTAAATATTGAGATTTTGTCATTGCATTTTTGGCTTGTGTTCTCTATACAAGTATTCAGAACATAAAACACTCAAAACGAGATTACATTTCAGGGTCTCGGACCCAGGGATTACAGGGTGACAGATCACATTGTTTAATTTGTAAGAGTAAGAAAAACTCAGTCTCATTGAATTAAATATCTTTAATATTTTAAGATAATATTCTGTCAGAAACCCTACCAAGTATATCACTATTGTCAGAAACCCTACCAAGTACACCACTGTTGCTGGAGGTTATAAGGCTATATAACTGATCAGTGTTGTTTGTTTTTGTAGAAAGTTTACGTTTACCTGAGGATGTTACAATTGAGATGACAGAAAGTCCTTCATTTTTGTAAGTGTCTTTCATTTCAGAAATATTATAAAAGTAAAAGACAATTTCAATCAAGCACCGTTAACTCATTCTCCATGTATTCTGTTCCCTAACAGTCATCAGTTAAAGTAAATTTCATTCAATATCAAGTTTTACTTTTTACACAAACAATGTACATATTAAACGTGTCGCAACGTTCTCAAGACCGACTGGTTCCTGTGACTTAGTGAGCGATTTGTGTTGTTAATCTGTACAACAATGTGATCAGATCTAGCCCCTCATTTAGGTCAGTAGTGGACACACAGGGAAAAACCTGGAATTTGAGGGCAGTGGGCCATTTTCACCAATTTTTTATCAATATCAAAATTAAGAGGGGCCAATGTAAAATTAAAAGAAAATCGGAATATGGAGGGGTCAATGACCCCATGGCCCCTCCAGGATTATATATGTATGACCCACTACAGACCTAAACAGGAGAGGGGGGGTTCAGATCTACACCCTACCAGCAACCTATTCGATACAGTGTTTATACAATCTCTATTGATAGGCGAAGCATCCTATGTGGATTGACATGAAATTAACAATTTATATTGCAACATGTTTAATATGTACATTGTTTGTGTATAAATTAAAACTTTGATATTAACCTAGAAACTGTTACATTTAAGATAGATAAACTGACGATAACAAGAATAATGTTTGAGTGGAGTCAGACTCAGTGTTCAAGACAGAGAAAACATTTTGTAATCATACAATTATGCATCTTCAAAATCCATGGGTTCTACTTTTGGTAGACTTTTCTTCTCTGCACACATTGAATATGTCAAAGCAAAATTGAAGGTTTGCGATAAGCAATTTGATTGATTTCAGGTAAAGAACCTGGCCAATCATTAGACTTAATATAACTGTCCATTTATGATAACAGAAAAACTAACAGCCAACTTTAAAGCCCATTGATTTTCTTCATCAAAGCATCAAACTTGTCCACATATATCCTTTGCCAGATGTCACGAAAGTGCCTTTGATTTTTAATTTGTCATGAGATATTCCAAGGGTACAGAGAAGATATGTGTAGCAAGAAGAGAATCCCTGGATTTAAATTATTGAATTCAGATGCTGGGAAAAATCAGGTTTCCTTTTCACGTTTGTTATTAACAGATACCCACACCCATACCAGTATGAACTTGACCACTTGAAACAGGAGCCAGCGATGCTGTCTAAGGTGGAACCAATAGTGAGTGATTTCATTTGTAAAGTATGGTATTGTAACGTGCACTCAAGGACATGAATCACTCATGTGTGGAGAGAGAAATGGTATGTTGTTTGCTACACATAGAGAGTCCTTAGGCGTGTGCGTGAGTTACTAGTGTGAAGGGAGAAAAAATGGTACATTTATCTAGATTCCCAGTGTCGCTGATATGTTAATTAGACATATATTGCACTGATGTATATACCGCAGTAAGATATTTTATTTAGGTATTAAATGTTAAGTTGACTTGCCATGAATCCAGTTTTCTCCTCTAGTATAATGACCGGTGAACCTTTCAAGCTATGTGGCCATTGGCCTCTTTTTTATGTCCACAAATACCGTAAAAACCCATGTAATTTGCGCAGGTACTTTTTGAGGCTGAAAATCGGGGAAAAAAGCTTCTACTCGAAAAATTTGCCCACCCAAAGGCAAAAAATAGTTCAAGCAGACTATTTTTACGATGCTTCATTTAATAAATATTGAAATAATTCACGAGGTTATTATCAATCACGTGTTTACGTAATGTTAGACGCGAGATCAACATGAAAGTGAGCCGGAAAAAAAACCCATGCTATACGCATAGGCGATTTGAAAAAAAAAATAACAGAACTTACATGGAACGGAGCTTAAATTGAACAACTACATTTTCGTAATAGTATGGGGAAACGCACCGAGATGTCGAAATGTAATGTTGTAAGTTGATCGGCGATTCTCTGGCATAGGAATTTGGCTAAACTTTCTTTGTTAACGGTTACCTATTTAATGATACTTTTCACATAAACTCAGATTTCACATAAACAACACATTATGTATCAACTGTATCTTTTATTAATGTTTGACATAAATAAATTTGTTGACCGTCACTTGTCTTAGAGTTCCGTGTACCAAGGGAGATAATCCAAGATGGCGATCTCCCAGAATAGTCGATCTTTTCCTGAAAAAAACTTGAAATTTTCTATACCTGTGTATTTTACGCACCCCCCACTTTGGGTATTAAATTTCTGAAAAAAAAGTGCGCAAATTACATGTGTTTTTACGGTAAGGTTTAATCCTATATGGTATTATTATTGCATGTTTAGGGTTCAAAAATACTGAAACCATGTTGGTTCTTCCTGAAAACGATTTGCAGGCACCAATGTAATAAAACATGTGTAGATTGCCTTGAAATATTTTACATAAAGTTACAAAATGAGATTTGTTCAATCCCAGAATTTAATTGTGACTTTATGTTTTCAGGAACCACGTCCATTGGATGACACCCCTCTCTCCATGGTAACTAAGGTGTCAGAGTTAGTGGCACTGTGTGACAAACTTAAGACGTGTAAGACCGTGGCAGTGGACCTGGAGGTAGATACTTGACGACTCTCCTTATTTTGGAGGGAGATCTCCATTTTGGACCCTAAATTTGAACATTTATAACCTGTACCAATTTGCTGAACTATTCCTTTATTCTAAGATCTGTTTTCATCTCAAAAAACAACTTAAATACACCAATGGGTATCGGTATATGCACTTATTTTATTCATGATTTTAATTGAATAAATGGAGCATTCAGAATCTCCCCCATGACAATTTCAACTGGTTAGCAAGAATGGGTAGTGTTAGGACTGGGTTGTATGAAAACCAAGTGACAACTGCAAAACTTCTAATATTTCTCAAAATGGATAAATTTAGTTAGGAAAATACATGTGTCTGAAATGAGAATAAAACTATAAAAGACCTTAACGCAATGACCTCTTTTTGACTAAATGATCCTTCTGATATAGCTTCAGGGAGATTTTTCCAAGTGTAGGGATCGATCCCAGTCTAGCCATGCATTTCTCTTTCTCCTGTTACAAACATGGTGAGCTTGCCAACCCTTGTTTGAAGCACTGAGGAAATGCTTGGCAAGGGGACACCCAAACCTGGGTTGTAAATGGTGTGGAGACTAAGAAAAACGAGGGAGAAATGTAGCAGAACTGGACTGGGTCGATAGGAGGTGACCAGCTAGGTAGATTATTTACTAGAGCGTCTGTCTAAGAGTTTGGAGGGTCCCTGGTTCAAGTCCCCATCTGGCTATGCATTTCTCTTTCTCCTGTTACACCAGTATGAAACTTAACAGTTTATAATTATATATATTGATAAGATGTTTTTAATTGATATTACAATGAAAACTACCTAAATTTCATGATATAAGTCGCTTAATTAACGTTATGGTGTAAACTGATTGTCTATTATAAAAATGCTGTTTATTAAATTTGTAGCACCACTCATACCGGACGTTCCAGGGGATCACATGTCTCATGCAGATATCAACACGCGACCAGGACTTCATTATAGACACATTGGAACTTCGTAGTGACCTTCACATACTCAACAGTGTGTTCACAGACCCCAGCATAGTCAAGGTTTGTATGTTAGGCATTTTAAAAAAACTCAGGCTATAGGATTGATTCTGTATAGTGCTTTAATTTCAAAGAGTAGGTCATTCACAATAATTATCCTGAAACAAATCCCAGTGATTCCAATTTTTGTGCTCAGTATCAGGAGTTCAGATATGTGTTTTGTAGAGCTTCTATTTCACTTGCAACAAAATCATGAAAACAAAACCTCCATGGATGGAATTTGAATGATATAAAGATGTCTCTTTCCCTGTATTCTCCGAGAAATAATGTCTAGTTGATTTCTATATATCCCTACACCATAAGCTTAGACTTTCACAAAGAAAATATTCTTCTGTACACATTGCCACAACTTCCTTAATTTGCATATATTGTAGGCTATAGTGTAATGATTGCTGTGGCTATAGCTATAGACTTGGAGAAGATTCTAAAATTGAACATATCTGTATAAGTTCCTAATGTCTTAAATTGTACTGTAGGTGTTAAATGGTGCTACCGCTTAAAATGGAAAGAAGTCAGAACAATTTAATGTTTATCACTTTGTATTGTAAGCATTCAATTGTGCAACCTTTTGACACGGAAAGTCACCCGATACCTGACTTTGTATTTTAGGTATTCCATGGTGCAGACTCGGATGTGGATTGGCTTCAGAGGGATTTCGGTCTGTATGTTGTGAACATGTTTGATACAGGGCAGGCTGCCAGGGTGCTCAACTTGGCACGGTTTTCCCTGGCCCACATTCTCAAAGCGTACTGTGGGGTGGAAGCAGATAAACAGTACCAGTTAGCAGACTGGAGGATTCGGTAAGAACTGAAGGCCAGAGCCCGGACTCATGAAAACCGTTCTCAGGCTCAAGCATGGATAAGATCTGAGTTTGTCAATGATTTTGGAAAAAATTCTGAAGAGAATTAAAGCTAAATACAGTTTTCTGTGTTTACATTTGACCTTTTGATCATTTGACATGCTTTATGCGAGTTACAAGAAAGTTGGTTTGAGCACAGAATCCATGCTTCAGAATTTAAATGGTTTCATGAATACAGCTTTGAAGTAAACATTTTCTAAAGGGGTCTTGACATTTTGTTTAATTCTTTTGAAACTTCTTCCAAAGCCTCCTCTAACTCTGTGGTGAGTATCATAATCTGGGTTTTGTACAATTTTGAAAAGACGACTATGCTTTTCAAGATCCTGTATGACAAAGAACTACTTCTGGAGTGTTTCTAAAGTTTTGACTTGGAAAGCAGATGACATTTTTTTCCATTAGTTTTTTCAGACAAATAGAGTATTTCATTAATTATATTTGAGAATGAAAGAAATTTGTGTCACATTTACTTTAGTAAATACAGTAGGCGGAATCTTTGAATCTTATAGTCCTACCTGGGCGCTTTCCGAATTTTCGTTTATCGCAATCCAAACAGTTGGGCCACAGTTGTTTGTTTATGAAATATGAACCTAGTAAATAATTTGATGCTGCTTTCAGGCGAGCCTCGACAAAGCCTTGTAAGGCCTGCATAAACATTTGCAAGTCCGCCAGGATTTTTCCTGAAAGTGTTACATTTAAAAACAGATAAACTGGTTGTTCAACATAAACGAACCAGACTCCTACATAGAAATAGGAATGAAGGTAAATAATTGTGATGTGTGTATTTCAGACCTCTGCCAAAGGAGCTGGTAGCATATGCCCGTGAGGACACCCATCACTTACTGTACATCTACGATAGGTTGAAAAATGATCTTATTGAGCGGGGAAATGAGCAAAATAACCTGCTCATGTCTGTCCTGCACAGGAGCAAGGAAGTGTGTTCAAAGGTGAGAATGATCAAACTATTTAAGGTAACTCAATCTGCTCAAATCTGCCTTTGCTACATTTAGCTATAGAAGCAAGAAAATAAATGTGCAAATTGAACATTACTGCAGAATTAGTAAATGAAATGAATAAATTCCTTAAGTCTGTATTAATTTTATAGCTGTTAGCAAGGATACAATACTATATACATTATTTTTATAACATTATCAGTGAGAATATTTCCAAATATACTGAAACTAATAATGAAGCTTTATTTGATCAGATAAATCTCAGTATTAATCTACTTGAAATTTCAAAAATCTTCTTCTCAAGACCCACTCTTCATAGATGGAAGGCTCTTAAGGTGCTTTACCAAAATTCAGCTGACTGACAGAACCACTATTTGTACATAGTACATATACTACCCAGATCTTTCACACTACTTTTGCATTACATGTAGTTCAAGTTACCTTTGTTACAAAATGATTTCTTTTTCATTTGGCAACATCGATAACATCAGTTTTAACATAACTCAGGTGACCGTTAAGGCCCACGGGCCTCTTGTTTTATAAATGTTCTCCTTGTATTGCGTTTGTATTTCTAACAGCTAATTTATAGTTCCATACCAGCACAAAATGTATTTCTAACAGCTAATTTATAGTTCCATACCAGCGCAGAAATTATAATTCTCAACCCAGGCCATACAATATCCCACTTAATACAGGTGGAGGTGAACCACAAGAGGGTTATTTAAAGTATCTTGTTCAAGGACACAACTGCATGAAGACATGTTAAATTCATTAAACTGATTTTAAACTGTTTTACAATTCCAGGTATACAGGAAGAATATTTTCAGTGAGGATGACTATCTAGATCTGTACCATAAAAGTAAAAAGGTGTTCAACTCACAGCAGTTGGATGCACTCAAGAAGATATTCATGTGGCGGGACCGAACTGGAAGACAGGAGGACGAAAGTCTGGGGTCAGTCAATAACATTAACACGGTTTTTAATTTCCGTTTTTGGGAACAGTTGGTGTCGATAGATCTAGAGTGTTGGCAATAACCGTTAGTGGTTACTAAAGCAATCTTATGCTGGGTTATACTGTAATGCTTGTGATTAAATTTGTGGGGTATGCATTTGTAATTTTTGCCTCTGGACCAAAATTTGCAAATTTCAATTCGCACTGCATTCTAACTTTAGGGCTGGACTTGCAGAAGGAATTCTTCACTGATTTCTGGCAGTTTTTCACCAATAAGTACAGTGGGGAAAAAAGACTTTTAAGTTATTTAATTTTTTTTCTGCTGTATGATAAATAGAAATGCAAGGAAGTAATGCTACCAAGTACTAAAATTATTGGAAATTTATCTTGAGATCAGCAATTTTCAGTCGCCATAAAAACTTCTAAATTAAGAAATGTGTTAACTCATTCACCCCTGAAGACACATTTGAACTCTCCTGATTCAAAGCTTGGAATAGTTCATTATGAAAATTCAGGGGTGAATAGGTTAAGAAAGGTAAATTTACAGCATTTGTTTAATCATTGATATATGTTATACATTGATAGGTATGTGTTGCCAAACCACATGCTGCTCCAGATCGTGGAGATCCTCCCTCGAGAGAGACAGGGAGTACTGGCCTGTTGTAACCCAATCCCACCACTGGTGAGGCAGTACCTCCCAGAGGTCCATGGCATTATCTCAGAGGCAAGGGAGAAACCTCTCGTGAAGGTAAGCATCTAGTTGTTGTTATAATGTCTGAAAGTTTGACAGTAAATATTTACTACATAGCTTCATAAACATATTATTTCAATTTTGAAGAAGAAAAAATGACACTACGCAAAGATTAAGTTTAGCAATGAATTGCAATCTTATGATTTAGAGTTAATTGTAGTCTATCATTTTCAAATTACTAGAAAACTATAGAAGTAACCAACAGATCAGTAAATAAAGTCCCCATTTTCTCTTCAAGGTCTCATTCAGTTTTATGTGGTTCTTGCAAAATCAAGGGAAGTAACTTGCATTGTTTACATTTTAGCAACTGCATCAATCAGGTGATTGGTTATTTCAAAATATGGGACAACATATGTTTTACAACATTTAGAATTGTATTCAAATGACTGTTTGAAAATTAAGGATGCATTGCTGATAGTTACCGATTTTGGCAGGTGACAAAGAGAAAAGTGAACCGACCGTCTCATCAGCAGCACCCAAAGTACGATGGTGAAAGTCTGCTGTTGTGTCCTCATGATCTATCTCATCAGTTGTCACAGAAACCGGGGGAAAAGTCTGTGCTGTTACCAGGTAATGACAGTGAACAATAGTGCTGCAACGAGATATCGTGCGGCAATATATCTCGATATTTTGAATACGGTACGATACACATTATTTTTTGGGAGGTCATGGTACACCTATGATATTTTCCGGATTTTGTCCTTTCTGAACTTTATCTCATCATATCCGTTCCTACATGGCGAGTGACAGCTCGAGCTTAGCATGCATGTTGAAAGACGTGAATTGTATGAAACTTTTTATAGTGATAATAAAGTTCTTCATTCTGCCAAAGTTTATCTATTCTGTTCTTAAAAGTGTTGATATATATTAAATATTTAAAATATATCACAAATATTCAAGCGAACAAACACATGTTTTCGGTATCTGTAATAGCTATTTGTCAGCTACAACCCTTGTAAATTGTGAATATTGACCAAACTACAAGGAGGTACGATAGTCTAGTGGTAGGGCGCCGGGCTCGTGACTGAAGGGTTGCAAGTTTGAGCCACGGCACTGTGTTGTATCTTTGAGCAAGATACTTTACCCTGCTTGTTCCAGTCTACTCAGCTGTAAATGAGTATGTGGTTGGGCAGTGCTAGAAATGTAGAATGCGAGCTGTGAGTGCCGAAATGGCAGCACCCGCTGTATGCTCCCCATGGAGAGAGACAGATATTGGCTGGTTGCGAAGGTCCTGTAACCACAGATAATAATTTGTGAACTGCTTTGAGACGACCTACGAACTAGACTGTGATAAAGCGGTATATAAGAACCTCAAATTTTTGTTAATATTGCATGTTATTTTTTTCAGATCCGATGGACCTGGCGGACAGCTCCCCCTTGCCACCTTCGTATGACCTCCACTATAGTATCAAACTGAAGACCAACCCAGATCTCAGGGCCTTGGACTCTAATAATGTTAGTTTGTAGGATCTCTCACGAACATTTTAATCCTTAGATAAGTCTGCCTCATAGTTTTTTGAAAATGACTTGTTTGGTGATTGAAAATGAAAATATAAATTTCTGTTCAAATGCTTTAATTATACAGCAGCCAATCTGCTCTCCATAAAAGAATGTAATGACATCAAGTTTCACTTATTTGAGTAAAATATTCTTTTATATATTGATATCTTATAATATTATGTATAACTTCATATTTCGTGATATGTTTTACCCTTTCACCACTGTAGACCATAATGGACTCATCCAGGTCAATGCATGGTAGAGTCTACTAAAGTCACATAGGGGTGAAAGGGTTAAATTAGTTACTACAAATGTTGCATTAACAGTTAATGTTGCTGATTATAGTATGTTAAAATAACGGAGACATAAAATAACTTTAATTAAGGATTATAGGTGATTTTTTTTTACATTGTGATAGTTGAAATTATGTGTTCAATGGTTATATTTTTGTCCAGAATAACAAAGGATTTTTTATTTCATCTTTATTGGTGGTTTTCGTTTGGTTCATGTTACATTTGAGACAAACTGTTTTAGCATGTACAGATTAGTTTTTCTATTTACCATTTTCATGAGGTGAAAAAAGACATCAGTTGACATCAGTACAGAAGTTTCCATCTTAAAAGTTTGAATTTGATACCACGGCATGTTATAGGTCCGCAAATTCTTTAACAGCATGACAGGAAGATCAGAACAGTTTCCAATTTAAAAAAAATAAAGTATGTCACTGATTTGAATCAGCTATTTTTCTAATGTACAATATATAAATGCCATTCTAGCCATATCATGTACCATCCTCGATTTCCAGGGGTTATGCTCACTTTCACTCTCTACACCCCTGGAATATGTCATAGAAAAATTGAAGGCACAAAGATAGCTGTTTGATTGGTCTCAGGTAAA